GAGATGTTACCACAGCAACTGGTATGTTACTGCATGGTGCAGGATTTCTGTTTAAAACATGAGATTAAATTCAAAGAACGGGCAGGATGGTGGTGGTGAATTAACTGCCTAATATGCTGTGAAAGTTTATTTCTGTACTGGAAAGAAAGCAGGAATTTCACTGGAGGGGAGCTGCATTAATTAACTGTGTCAATGTAGAAAAAAACAGACTGAATATACCTTTTCCAGGCATGGTCATCTCATGTTTTTAACGTTAGCATTTTCTAAGGTAGGCAGTTTCTTATTTTCACCAGCAGAGGGGGCCATCCTGTGCCAAAAGCAGCCCTTTAAGGTTAATGTTGACCGTGAACAGATAAAGCGTGGGGTGTTGGCAAAGAGTGAAACGTCTTTTAAATGCAAAATTGAATTTTTTTTTTTTAATTGGTTTGATCTTTTTTCACATGTTATCCAAAAACATAATTTTAAAAAATCTATTAATTATTTAAGTATTAAAGCAAAACACCAAGAAAATTGACAAGTTTCAGCTTCTCAAATGCGATGATTGGTTGTCTTTCTGATTTAAACTAAATAGTTTTGAGTTTTGAATTGCTGGCTGGACGAAAAGAAGCAGCATACTGTTCTTATCTTTGTCTCAGAGTACATGTACCTCGTTTTTTGACTTATTCCCCCTGTTTTTAAGTGCAAATGGCCAAAAGTTGTTGTTTTTTTCACTTATGAAATTCACAATCCTCCTATATGCTTTGGTAAATAAAATACATTTTGCCTAACGTTGTTCACAGTTTTACACATAATACCCCAGTTCATGCTAAAAAAAAAGTACAGTAAAAATCATTTTCTGTATCTATAGATGGGAGTTTTTCAGTTCTTTTTCAGTTTTAAGGTGCAAATACAAACAATGTTAGGTGACATTTTTTATTTTACTCTAAAATTTCAGGGTTAAACATAAGAATTTAATCCAATCTGACATGTTTCACTCAGTTTCTGTCATTTGTATTGGAAGCATAATGGTGGAGCAGTTAGCATTGTCACCTGACAGTAAGAAGGTTCTGGGTTTGAACTTCCCTGGGGTCTTTGTTCTCCTTGAGCGTTTTGGTTTCTCTGGTTTCCTGCCACAACCCGAATGCGTGCTTGTCAGGTTAATCTGTGATTATGAGTTTGCCTTAGGTGCAGGTGTTGAAACATGCATGAACAAAAAAAGATTAAAGTGGTTAGCCTGAGTAGAAAAGTGCTCATACAAATGCCAGTCCATATTCAAGTGCATGAATAATTAATAATCAAAAGTACATAAATTAATTGAATGTGTACCTCTAAAATCAAGTTTATACCTTATTTTATTATAGAAACCACAGAAAAGACTGGTCTCCACAAGCTGTGAAGAGTACAAAGGTATTACCTTAGACGGGTACCACCATATTGTCCTATTAAGATATCTAAGGATACAACAAGACAATAACGTCTTTTATTTTAGGAGGACGAAGATGTTTAGAGTGTTGTCATTTAGGGAAAAATCTATTATCTATCAAGTCTATTAAAATATTATATTTATATTAGAAACTATTAAAATGCTATATGTCATATGGTTATATCTCCAGCAAAATAATTAGGTAAGTAATTCATTTTCCAAGTATTGTATTTAAATACAGTTATTGGGGCAACTACGTTATCTGGGTATTTTATGATACATATTATTTTATTAACAAAACAAGAGATTAGAAAAACAAAACGAAACTAAAAACGACTTAATCATAAAATAAGAGGGTTACATAAGAACGTTACAGAATAAACTACGGAGAAAGATTTGTACTGAAATATTGTTGTAACCGATTAGAAAATATGACGCTAATGGGATTATTCTGTATATATTCATTAAAAAAGTGCTCTAATCGGCATTTACAGGTAATAACGTAACATTTCATCATCACGGCCTGAAATGGCTGTTTTTAGGAGTCCATCACACTTGAAAGAAAAAGGTATAAAGAAAAGAGAAACGATAATAAGAAAATAATTTTCTGATCGTTCCTTTCGATGATTTATGGCACATTTTCAAGACTAAATGTAGCAAAGGGTGTTGAATGCTGGGGAAAGGGCCTAATTTACCTAAAATTGTTATGAGGTATTGATTCCAGTTGTTCAAATGATCGTCCCTTTTTTGTGAGTCAAATCAGCTGTTTACATTTCCTGCCACTTACAGCTACGTGCCGCTTATTGCTGTTTCCCGCAGCGTGGTTACCAAAAACACAGAGTAACCCGCGGAGCTCTGCTCGACATCACAGTGATAGGCTGCACACTGGCTGACTCTGCTGGAGAATTGGCAGACTTTTCTATTTATTTTCCATTTTTCCCAGGATGAAGCGCAGTGTACGGGTCAACGAGGCTTGTTTAGGACTAAAGAAAACCGTGTGGTATGAGAAAGAGGGAGAGAGAGAAAGTTTCTACAATACAAGAGATTTTTGAAGTGTGTGATATACCACTCTGTGTGTTGTTGGCCTTGGGTGGAATGAGCAGTTTCTAAAAGAACAAGGGCAGAGTGTGTGAAAATATCCAGATGTGTCGGCGGTTTTGTGCTTTTCCTTTTTTCAGTTGTGTTTTCATTGCTTGCGGTGATGCAGACTTTCATCCGCAAGGTCACATCCAGGCCTGAGACAATGCCACTTAATTTCATTCAATTCATTTTCACGGGGCAGGGACATGCGGTTGCACCGAGTGATTTTTAAAAGAAACTTCAGACGTGCGGCTTCCCATGTCGTTGAATTTTTTGGGGAGAGTAACTTCTTGTGGAGATGTGTTCACTGAAAAAAAGCAAAGCGTGTTTTTAACTTTTCCAATGGCTGGGATGACCCCAAAGACACCAGATGTCAAAATGTTAAGAGGTATTTTCACTGACCACTAGATGGTATAATATATGCACGCAACAGGGTTTGGACCAGATGACAGCAGCACTGATTAACTCCACTCAGCTGGGGCGAATTTTCACACTTTTTCTACCTGTTATTCACAGGATGCTGGGTTCGTTTAGCAGAGTTGTGGGTGTATTACACAGCCGCACCAGCTGCTTTCAGGATGCACAAAAAAGGCGCTCGCAAGAAAGGGCATATTTAGATTTATCATCCAGCTCAGCATTTAAAGCTAATATTTATTCAGGTCCTCTGATTTTTCAGAACAGAAAATATGTCCAAAAAGCATCTGGATCGAGAACACTGACTGAAACTTGAGCTTTTCTTGATCTTGATTTCACAGTTCAAGATTATTTGAACGAAACTTTTCATCTGGTATTTTTTCAAATAATCGATTCTGCGTTTAACTGTAGATTAAAGCCGGCAGCGAAAGTCAAGCGCAGAAAATGAAATGAGGCTCAAAAGCGCAAAGGAAACAAAATATAAATATGTAGTAAAATTAGGAAAAAAGTTTAACAGGTATTCGTGCTATAATAATAATAATAATAATAATAATAATAATAATAATAATAATAATAATAATAATACGTTTTGTCCCTGTTTATCTTAATTGACACGATTTCTTACCAGCATTGATAAGAATAAACTGAATTAAACGCGTCAAACAGTTCCATAGACAAATATGTCTTAAAAGCAAAGGTTTTAATACCTTTTCATTAGGATCGTGTGAGGTGTCTAGGTCATCTAAAAAGTTCTTTTTAATCCTAATAACTATGTTATGTCCATGTTATCCTCTGACCTGTGCGTTAAGACGACGACGAGGTCATTATGTTTACTATTTAATCCAAGTTAGTGGTAAATAAAAACAGCAGAAAAGCGCTGAGATCCGGTTTTTTAGGCGAGCGACGTGTAAAACGCCACAAAGGTCAAGATCCGGACCTGCAGCTCAGATGGTTGTCCACTTAAACTTTGGGACAGGGTGGACTATCACACTTTATACCCAGCATCATAGTAGTGCCTAAAAGTGGTCATACATTCAGTATATCTGATATTTAGAGCGTTTCAACAAAACTTGGCTTAAAAAAAGGCAAACGTTCATTTTACGCAAAAAATAATTATCCGCAAAAAAGGCGATTTTTAAAAGAGTCACGTGTTATTTTAAATGGAAGTAAAATCAGTTTTGATTCATATTCATCAGGGAAAAAGGAATTCATTGTTTAAAGGGCGTTGAACTGAAATCTGTAAAAACAGCCTCTATACTGAATCTAATAAGACTTCAGAAATGTGGTGCCTTTTATTTTTTACTCGTAGTCTATTTATATAGTTGAAGAAGTTTGCGGATATGCTGAGGTTTTAACGATTCAACATCCTGGGTGTAAAGAAGGCGATACATTGTGTTAACTTAATTAAAGGTAGACGGCGCGAATAGCCTGTCACTCGCTGGTCAACCCTGAAGGCAACAACCATCACATAACGCGCGGGACGCACAGGATTCCCAGACAGATCTGAGGGTTGATGAAGGGTTAAGGTTTTTTTAATGATTAAATTTCCTACAAATTCAGTCCTGATGGTGCATTTAAGTGATTTGAGGAAAACCGGAGACAATGCTTTCTACTATACAGTTCTGAATGATGTTGCTGGTGAATTCTACTATCTTGTGATCTCGGACATTTGCGCATGCCATCCTCGTTTTTCTTACTGCAGGATTAAAAAAAAAAAAAACTTTAGCAACGCAAGGAAATCTGGTCTTTTGCTAAATTAACCATACGTTTTTTTTACATAATAAAACATTACCAAAAAGCAATCCTATACACAGGAGTCATACATCCACAAAGACTGTCCTTTTGTTTTGGATGAAGTTTCGGTTAAAATAAATGCGTTGGTTGACATTTGCTTCTCAAGCTCTGACCAAAGAAAGTTTTTTCTTCCCCCAGCTGGTTAAAAGCAGCATGACGTCGTTTACAGTGGCCAATCATAAAACGGCTTTCCTCTTCTCTAGGCCAATCGGACGCGAAAAGGCTGCCTGTCAGTCACAGGTGAGGGCGTATGGTGAAAAAATTGGGTGAAAAGAGCTGGAGATTGTAGTGAGCCCGGGTTGATGGTAGAGCTATGCAGCGGAGCAGCATCGCTTCTGCGGATGTAGCAGAAACTTTTTACGGCTTCTCCCGAGGGATGCGACTAGAAACCAACACTGGAGGGGCAAAGTTAAGAGCCAGCAGCGATCGACGGAGGGAGTAAAATAAAATGTGGATGAACTGACATTTACTCCACTATCTGGGCCGGGTAATTACTGAACCTGAAGTCAGAGCAATCTTCGCTTCTTTGAAAAATGGCCGTTCGTGGCAACTCACTGATGCCTTTCTCAATCCAAGCCATCCTGAACAAAAAAGACGACAGTCGACACTTGCCAGATTTGGACATGTGCTTCTCAAAGACTGCCTGCTGGAAAATATTCGGAGAGATGGACGGCGGATCCAGGAGAAACGAGAGTGAAGCTTGTGAGCCGACCGACCAGAAGAGCTACGACTCGGATTCGGGACTCAGTGAGGACAACGACAGCAAGACTCCAGCCCCATGTAAATCGGAGAAAGACGGAGACCCTGCGTCGGATGTGCCGGAGGAAAGCCTGCAAGAGGAGACGGACCACGAGTCTGCAGCTGCGGAAAACTCCAAGAGTGACACGGAGCCCGGTAATGGCACGGGTAAGTAGGCCAGAAAGATCCGAATAACTATAACTCAGGGGGGAAAGCGTGACTGGTTTAAGTACAACAATAAGACTCCGCAAAACTCTTCGCTTTAATACAGAGTTCAGTCTGAAAGAGCCAAGTGCTCTTTTAATTTAGATGTTTACACTGCTGTTACAGCCGTGTGGAATCACAAGAAGAGCTGCCAGGTGTTATTGCAGGGCATAGGCCCTATTTTCAAAACTTCTTCACATCCTGATAGCTTTTATGCACCAAGTCCTCTCGTTACGCATGAGTATATATGCATTCCTGGCTTAATTTTAGACTTTGTCACGATAACGTTGATGATTTGACAAGTTTATGTTTTGACTGACGGTATAATCGACCAGCAACACACGGCTGGTTTAATGTCAGGAGTAATGATCTTAAATGAAATAATTTTAAATGAGGCCTAAATGAAAATCGAACTTTTTTTTTAATCTAAAATAAAAAAGAAAGGTAAACGCAGTTTGTTTTTAATAAAAAGTGAAAATAAACATACCTTCGTATAAGTTTGCACATTTCTCTAAGTTTAATTTTTCGCCTTTTCGTTTCACTGATTCAAAACTCAAAGCAACCATGAAATAATCGACAAGTATGAACGTAATGCCCCGAAATGTGAGACAAATAAGAGATTCAAATGCATCGTCCATCTGTGTGCCCTCCTCTTCCAGATTCCAGCAACCTGGACGAGAAGAGTCTGGATCAACCTAAACAGCGGAAAAAGCGCTCCAGAGCTGCCTTCTCTCACGCACAGGTCTTCGAGCTGGAGCGCCGTTTCAACCACCAGCGGTACCTTTCCGGGCCGGAGCGGGCGGACCTGGCGGCCTCCCTGAAGCTCACAGAGACTCAGGTGAAGATCTGGTTCCAGAACCGCCGGTACAAGACGAAACGCCGCCAGATGGCCGCCGATCTGATGGCTTCGACCCCAGCAGCCAAGAAGGTGGCAGTGAAAGTTTTGGTGCGGGACGACCAGAGACAGTACAGCCCGGGAGAGATCTTACGGCCCCCGCTGCTCTCCCTACAACCGTCCTACTATTACCCCTACGCCTACTGCCTCCCTGCATGGACGCTCTCTGCGTGTGCGGGGAACCAGTGAAAACTCGGTGACTGTATTTATTCATTTTTTATTATTTTTGCTCCCAGGAAGCCCACATAGCTTTACTTCTGACAAGAGGAAGAGGTCCGAGGGGACTGCTCAACGTCTCTGATTGAATTTCCTCACCATGTTGTCCAGGCAAGACAGCAAAAACTTTTCATGGCTTTTCACATCCTGAAATACTTTAAAGCGACTCCTTCATGTATGTAGTAAGGTTTCCCCCCTCCAGGGACCCGTTAAAGAAACAGTTTCTCATGGTTTAGACCCTAAAATCATAAGCGGAGAGACAGGACCTCCTAAAAATGTCACTATGTTATCCTCTGAGGAGTGACACAGCAATAATATTAAAGTATTTGTGTCTTTGCTTGGACTCCCTCAAGGACTTCCGAAGCCCCCGGAACCTGTTTTGGAAACCGGAGGCCTGAGCAGACTGAAAATGTCACCTTAATGTCGATTTATATTTTACATGCGCCTTCCTACCTCTGCAGTGATTGGAAATAGGCATATTCCATTAACTTCTCAAACAGCTGTCTCTGTTGCAGGTTGTGTATTTTTTTCTCTTGCTGTGTTTGTAAAGGTAAGATAATTCAGCACTTTTGAGCATATACGTTACTTTATTTCAATGCATTATAGTGTGGTTCGCTGTTAGACTGAAAAGAGGCGGTTTGTTGAGTTACTGGCCTATAGCAGGAAGCAGGCTAAAACAAGCCGACCTCCTATTAAAATGTACATGTTTTATTTGTGTTAAGTGACTGTTTAGATCGAAAAACATTAAAACATATCAGGCATTACTTTCATTTGGGATGCAATTTTATTTTTTAAGGGTTACGTTTAGTATTGGAACATTAAATATAAATATCCACAAAGCAATCAAACTTTTTTACCAATAATTAAAACAATTTAACCCCTTTTTGTCCGACAAATACAAATAGGCTCTCTTTCTCTCTTTTTAACTTAATGGCCAAAAAGAAAATAAATGCACCCCCCCACTGAATTATTGTTGATATTAATTATAAGCTTTTCTAGAAATTTCAGAATAGTTACAGGTCCAGGTACAATGCTGTACTGCACCCCTCCTTTTTGTGTTTTATTTTGTTTTGGTTTTTTATCATCAAAAGTCCTCTCGAAGCTTAACAATAATCATAAATTGTCGTTAAATCGGATTAACGTGGATCTTAACTTATACCAATAATTACATTAATTAATTGAAAAGGTGACTTTTCTGTGCTTTGAGATCTGAACGATTGAAACTCGGATAATATCCTACTAAATCAACAGTGGACACACACACGCACACAAACACACACACACAGACGCAGTAAACCAAAAATTAAATATAGTTGTTTAAAAAAAAACTAGTCTATTTAATTTCAATTAAATTATTATTTATACACCTACCACTGTAAACATCATTGTGCTTAAATTTTGTGTCTCGTTTCACTTTCCTTCTGTTTACTATGGTGTTACTGTCAGACACTGAGACCCCGTCAGCTGGGCCACTATGGCTTTCTTCCTAAACACACCTGTCAGACAGTGATGAATGGCTGTGTAATTCCCGGACAGGGCAAACTGACAGCTACCTTTAGGGCCGTATGTCAGCACGAGGAGAGGAGTATTCTGGGGTTAAGGAGGCCGATGTCACTGCTGTCAGAGAATAAAAAGGGGGTTCTCATTTGCTACTTTTAGCAGATGGAAGACAATATCTTAAAAGAAAAAAATGAAACAAAACACGAAGCTTCGCTAACTTCCGGCTGAATGGTGCAACTGAAATTGAGGGGGTCGTACAAGCTGTTATTTTGTATCCAATAACGGCCTAAGTGTTAAGTCAGGGTCAACAGGGAGCTGTCGTACATTAAACATCCATCTCTTACCTTTCAAAATACTTCCATTACTTACGGACCCTAACGCAGCCATCAGGGGGTGTATCATGAGGTGCTGGCTGTTGGACAGGAAGATCAGCGTGAATGATTAAAGATACACTGAACATCCAAGTTATCGCGTGGGACACATGGACGCGAAAAGGAATCAAGACCGTCAACCCTGCAGACTCCGTTTATTGGGACACAAGTTACAATTGCAATGCGTTTTACGCACGGACAAATGGGTATATGTAGTGTCTCAGTTGATCATTGCACCATTCTTTTTCACCCTATATAGTAAGACATGCCCACTCACGAAAGGCGCCTGTATGTCCTCAAATCTAATCTACTTGATGCAGGTATACTTGTCACCTAGGCCATCGCCAGGAGCAGTGATGATGCTCATTGGCTCCTTTGGAGCTTGAAGGACAGAGAGGGATATTGGGGAGTGGACCGTCCCACATTGCTTCCTTTCCTACCTGCATGTGGAGATATCTGATATAGAGGGACATATCGCGGCTCTATTTCCTTTTAACCTCAGCGACTTGAAATGCAAACACCCCCATCGGTGTACATTACACCCATTCCAACTACTCCCCGTTATTTCCCCATAGCTGATGCTTCGTACGTTGCAATATTATTGTTTTGTTTTTGTAGTATTGCAGTTAAGATTTGACTTTTACAGCAAATATTCTCTACAGTTTCCCCTAAACAAACAAATGTATTAATATGTTAAAATCAGAATTTAAATTTTATTTAGATTTTACGCACAAGCAGCAGCTTCTCTTCTTTAAAAGGTTATCGTGAAAAAGTAATATCTTTGACTACAACAAAGGAGATGTAGTTTCGAATGCTTAATCGAATATTCTTCTGGAAAAGCAGGACTTCGGATTATGACCAAGATAAGTCCAAACCAGCCACTTTATTTAATCTATTTTTGGTCGTTCTGTGAAAAATAATTTCCTTTTTTTTTCCAAACCTGGCTTTAATTGATCTGGAAGTCACGGAAAATTCCATCGTCTTTCTAGATTTTTGTACAGAGCAAAAAATAAATTAGATTTTCACAGGAACGCCGCACCTATTATTATATACTGAGTTACAGTACCGATGACAGAAAACTGACATGTTTCCATCTTATAAAGGATCAGTAAAAGATCATCAAAGGGTGGATTTAAGTTTGTGATTATGAACACTTATCCCATATTACCCAATCTAACTTTAGTCTGCTTTTGAGTTTTTTTCCGCGTGAAGTACAGAAGGAAGAAAAAGTAAACGGGATAATAAAATCCCCCTGTGTATTCTCAAAGTCACTTAGCGAATCGTTGAATGTTTAAATCTCACCATAACACGCGATTTCAACAATCACCTTTGTCAAATCTTATTTCCCCCGTGAAACAAGTCAAACTGTGAACAATCAGTCACGGCTTCATTTACTTCAAGATATTTTTACCATCGTATACGAGAACATTATATAACGGTTATCAGCAGGGATATTTAATCTGCCTATGTGTGTGTGTCTGTGTGATTTAAAATAATAATATACTCTCATATTGGATTTGGATTTTTAAAAAAAAAAATTTAATTAGAGGACCCCCCCCCCCTTTTATTACAACTTTTTTTTTTGTTTTTTATTCTTTTTCATACAAAGAAAAACTGGAAAAATGTCTCAAACCACACAATTCCAGGCACTCAACGTAGCGCTTTGAACAACCACCTTTCCCGAGTGCCCGAACTTGGATATTTTAAGCTGTTTTTCCGGTCACAATTCTTTCCATTTGTCTTTTTTCACCGATGGTTCGAGGGACACCAAGTAGCGTTCTCATTATTATTATTATTATGATTATTATTATAATTTGCATGTTGAATAGTGCTTTAACAGTTATTATTTTTGCATGAACTTTAATCCCCATGTTTTAAGGACTAACGCTGCAACATTATATTCAACATGCCAGTTTTGTGACACCAGATTTTTCACGACATTGATGATTTTACCACATAATGATCACAAGCCAGCAATCACCGGAAATTTCCAAAGACATACTGATCTTTGTATTTCCGTGTTTTTAAGCATTTGAAGAGTCGAGCTTTAATCCTGACATACAAAAGATCCGAGACCTTCTTGGAGCACATTCACTCTGCAACTTTAAATTCTTTGCAGATCAAACACACAGCAGACTGAACTTGCAATGCAAAATAAACAGTGAAATTCAAAGTAGCTCTCTGGATGTTTTTTTTTCAAACTGCTGTTTCTTCGCCGTCCTCAAATTGTGCTTCTCTTCTTACAAAACCCTTTTTAAAAAAAAAACAAAACAAAAAACCAAAACAATTAGACAATATTTTTCTCTGTAGCTTTCTGTCAAGGAATCTGTCAATCACACCCTTATAAGGACTTTGGGATATACCGAGCTGCCATTCACTGCCACTTGCTTCAAAGTGGCTCAGGTGCAGATTCCTCGTTATCCCCTATTCCCAGTGCCACCCTTCCCCTGCACTGAAAAGGCAATGTGACATTTTCAAGAAAACATACAAAAACAGTTGATAGAAGATGTAAGTTGTGACAAAGACCAATCACATGAAATGTTTTCTTTTTCTTCCATACAGTAAATGGAACTTGCTCGTTTATATTAAGTTACACTGTGCGCATCTAGCTCCAGCAGTCGTGGGGGAAAAAACAAAAAACTATGCAGTGAGATATCTGGGACATAGCTGTAATTCCATAGTTTGTAGATTATAGGTTTCAATGGTAAAGTTGTAGGCTATAAAATATTTTGTGTGTCTCCCCATGGTTGACAGATTCAGCTTTAATATCCAGACAATAGTTTAAGACATTCTTGTAATTTCTGTTTATTTTGTTGAGTAAGTAATGGTGCATATTTGTAAACTGAATAAAAAAAAAAGTTAGGAATGAAGCCTAAAGCGTTCATGTAAAACATGAATGAATCATATTTCTTTTAATGCCTAACAGAATTACTATTTTCTTGTTTTTTTTTTCAGTGTCAACAATTGGAGTAAAGATATAATTTATATTTAACTGGTAAAAAATTCAAATAGTGTAATGTTAAAAAAAAGACATATTTGTCTATCTATGAAGAGCAGACTGCTGAAATGTAGTTATTAATACAGATATTTAACACGTGGTGCACAAAAGTGTTTATCATCAAAAACAAAATAATACATATTGAAAAGAAAAGCGAGTAAGGTGGTTCTATAACTTTAAATAGTTCTTTCGAGCCTTTGTACCGTTACATCTGTTATAATTAGTCATCACAATCTGCACTCCAAGAATCCCCTTTACCGTCTGAATGTGAGATGTGATCAGGCATTAAATGGCAACTTCATGAAAAGTCTGTTCTAAATCTTTTGTGGTAGAGATGATATAGATATTGGTTTATAGCCAACACTTTATTTACCCCATTAAAACTAATATTATTGTGCTCAATAGACCAATCTCTGCTATTTTGTTTGTTTGAAGTGTAGGTCTTTATCAGTACTCAGTCAATGGGGATTTCCAGACAATGCATAAAGTACACACAGATATGAATGAAGAGACGCTTCAGCTTAGTGGTGGAAGTACTGAGACTGACTGAAAGAAGCAATCCAGAACAAAGCTTTTCAGAAGAACTCATTATAAATACAAGGTCTTCATTCAAAACTTGACTTAAGCCATAATAAGCTGTAAAAGTCAGCATACTCAAAGAATGGCTGCTTTCATGTTACTGTACTGCTAATGTATGATCATTTCAATGAGTGGTTGAGCTGGAGCTTTTTAGGCACCTAGGCCCTTTGACGGTGTGTCGTATTGCATTGTAACATATTTCAAAAGATAATTATATGTTTGTGCACAACATTATTATTAATGATCGAGTTAAAGCAGTGGAACAAATAACCCAATATTTGGAAAGGCAATGTGACATACAAAGAAGCTGACAATGGAAGTACTGAAAGTACATGAAAACAGTACCTTAGCAGAGTATATGGAGCTCTAAATGTCTGGACTCTAATCTTTCATCCGTATAATACAGGCATCTCAGACACAAAACACAGGAGCTCCACACACCTGGTTTTCAAACCTTCTGTTTGTGAGAGGCAATAAATCAGAAGAATTTAACTATAAAGGACAGGGGAGAGCTGAAATGCGTTGTTTATTTTGAACTGTGGTTCAAGCAAAGCTATTCTCACAGAAAAAAAAGAAAAAAATTAGTTGGAAATTCATATTGTAGGTCCCATTTAAATACTGCAGTACCACTTTCTATTTTTAAAAGGAAATAATGTACTTTGTACTCTGCTACATTATTTCAAAAGCATGAATTTCTTCTTCTTATTTACCATTTGACTGAAGTAAAATGACAATAATATGTATATTCTAACATTTGGCAGCTATCTTGAAACACACAGACAACACCTTGAGGCAACTATTGTTGTGAATTGGCACTACATAAATAACATTGAATTGAATCACCAGTAAAATCTGATAAAAATGAATACAGCAACAAAATATAGTTTTAAAAATCATGTTTCCTTTGGAAAATATACTTCTACTACCATATTCACTCTTGCATAATTCTCTCCTTATAATAAACATATTTTACTTTAGGTGTCTTGGGAAGATAATACATTTGCACTTTTACTTAACCTCCTAAGACCCAAACTCTTCCATGACATGCATTTTTCATTTCTCTTTGATATTTGGGCTGATTGGGACCTGAAGAATGTAAAAACAAAGAATTACCAGATTTTTTTTTTTTACCTAATTTTTTGTTTATAAGAAAAATGAGAGCCACATATGAGCATATACATTTAAAATTTCAATAGAACAGTTGCAATATAAGGTCCTCATAAGTGGATATCAGGCCCTTGCAGAGCAAAATTGAGTATTTTGGTCTACATAACCCAAAATGTGATGTCCACATATGTGGACGCAGGTCCTAGGAGGTTACGTTGGGTTGCTTCTTTTAGTCACTGATATAATTTTTGCATTCCCAAATCCCCCTCACCTCCTGACTAGTCTTTGTCTCCCCTTGTGCCACTTTGTTTAATCTTTACATACTACTCATAGAAAGTATTTTTTAAGGCTTTACAGCACTCATTTTTGGAGAAAAACACCAGGTTTCACACAATATCATATACTGTTTTACCTAAAATACATTTATAATTTACTATATTTTAATCATCCATCCATCCGTCTTCTTTTTACTGCTCATATGGGTTCAGATTGTGAGGGCAACAGTCTACGCTGAGAAGCCCAAACCTGGCTAGCTTTTCTAGCTTATCCATTATAAAAACCAAGTTGTTCCCAGACAAGCCAAGACATAATTCCTCCAGTGAGTCCTGGGTCTCCTCCTGGTAGGACGTGCCTGAAATGCCTTACCTAGGAAGGGACCGAGAGGCATCTTAATTAGTCAGATGCCTGAACCACCTCAACTGGCTTTTTGCAATATGGAGAAGCAATGGCTCTACTCAGTCCTTCTCAAATGAACGAGCTCCTCGCTGTCACAGGTACTACCCTTCAAAGGAAACTCATTTCTCAACTGATTTATATCAGGAAGCTCTTTCTTTTGATCACCACCCAGAGCTCATGACCACAGGTGAGGGTAGTAACGTAGACTGACCTGAAGCTCTTTCTTCCCCACAACAGATTAGTAAACTGTCTATAACACTGCACTGACTCAGTTCATCTGTCCATTCTCCTCTCACTCATGAACAAGATCCTGAGATACTTAAACTCCGCAACTGGGAGCCAGTGGGAGAAGAAACTTGTCTCAGAGCGGGCACTCTACAGATTTTCTGGCTAAGAAACATGGTCTCAGACTTGTAGGTGCTTACTGTCATTCCCACCACTTCATTCTTGGTCGTAAACCACTCTAGTACAAGCTGAAGTGGTTGATGAAGCCAACAGAATTATAAATATTAAAAAACATAAAAGTTTATGAACAGAATGGGTAAAGGGCAGCCCTCGTGGAGTTCAACACCCACCAGAAATGTGTCTAACTCACTCCTGGAATACAGACCAAACTCATGCTGCAGCTATACAGGTACTGAATGGCACATAACAACAGTCAAGATACTCCATACTCTGAAAACCGCATTGTTCCTGCTGCATCCAAAGTGTGACAAACAGACAATCAGACCTCTCTAATACCCTTCCCGGGAAGGCTCCTGATCTCCCTTTAGTTGAAAGCATACCCTCTCCTTGAACAGGCAAACCACACAACATTGGAGTGACATGGTGGCCTGGAATCAGACTACCAGGACCATTGCACCTAACTGTTGTTCAGTCCACAAGTTACTGAACCCCTATAGCCCCTCCTGTGGGTGGTGGTTCCACAGAAGAGCAGACCCATATAGCTTCTTTGAGCTAAGCCCAGTCAGATTCCATGGGCTAAGGCCTGGCCACCAAGTGCTCACCCTCGAGCTCCTACTTCAGGACTGGCTCCAGGGTGGGATCCCAGTAACTCTGTCCAGGGCAGAGTAAACTGGACCTTTGATTTGTTTTCCCCGCAACCATCATAGGGGTTTTTGTTATAACATAACATTATAACATTCTGGAACTGTTGGGAATTCATTATCCCATGTATAATCATTACAGCCATTAAACACTGACCTCACTTCTGTTTCATGTCTCTTTCTCTTAGACACACACAAAAAACTATACTTATAGTAACTAGTCTGTGCACTCAAAGCAATTTTACAAAACCTTGCATGCGTGGCATTTGCACGTGTTCCCCACACTTTCTGAAATGGTATCATATGGAGACACACACAGTTCTTGTGACAATGGCAAAGTCTCGCTTGAACTCCATCACCACTGTCTCATCACAGAAAGAAAATAAAAACAACAACAACAAAAAGAAAAAACAAGTCACAGACAAGACAGTTTCAATGTGACCTAAAACAAACATTTTCTTTGATTTGAGTCACAGTGGTTGATCTAAAATCCGCATCAACAGATAAAAAATGTGAAGCACCGACACAACAGTATAAAATTAAAAATTATTTGGTTTTTTTTGTTTATACTGTATCACTTCAGTAAAAGTGCACTTCAGATGCACTTTGTTACATTTGTCATGTTTTACACCTGCACTTTAACCCCGTGTTACCACGGCAACGGCAACGCGTCACACACAGGACTCCACCACACACACACACACACACGCCGGTGAATCGGTTTCCGGTTCGGGTCTTTCTCCTGCAGAGAAGGGCTTCATGGCGGTAAAGAGGATATTTAAAGACTGAAATGCCAAATCCCGAGGACTGTCCGGTACTCTCGCTTTAACTGGAAAAATCGGTGCAAGTGGAGTCAGCGGCGCGTGGAGTGGATCGTATTGAGAGCTGCTGCAGCCAGTCAAGTCTTCTTAGTGGAGTCAAAATGGCGTCTGCGTGCCCACTCAGCTCTCGTCTAATCCGTTTGTGATTATTAGCGTGACAGCTCCATACATCCACCCTTGATTCGTTTCTACCGTTTCGGTTTCAAGCACTAAGTGCTTTTAAAAATTATTTTGTAGCGCCATGTCGGACTCCGAGGAGGAGAGCCAGGACAAGCAGCTAAAAATCGTAGTTGTGGGAGACGGAGCGAGTGGGAAGGTGAGACCACCACACAGACACAAACACAAAAACGGACACCTACTCAACGTTAATTAAGAGGTAATGCTCGAGAAAATGTAACTTGTCCACACTGCACACCATTTTTGCCTACTCAGTCACTTTCTGCTGACACTGTGCTGTCCACGCAGTAACCATGGCGACCGACGCTACTGTAGCCACGGCTGCTAATTAGCTAACAACAACGACAGAGGTAAATCACAACAACATCAACGTAACCCGGGGCGATTATGATTAAAGCTGACGTTTACACGGTCAAATAAACGCCTCAGTCCACGTGTCACTTTAGGTTCTCAATAAATTTTAGCCCACTTCTAGCTGTTATTCAGCACCTGTAGGGCTAACAGGCTAGCCAAGGACACACAAAACGAAAGCTGACGCTAAAGACAGTCAACTTCAGATGATGTTCAAAGGGTATAATTTATCTTTCGGATTTTTATTTGTCATTTTTACATTTTCATATTTAACCAATTTCATACCATACGGCTAATCTGTAAAGTACAAGTAAATTACAGTGACTAATAAAAATCAAATTTCCCCCTCAGCCATTGAGTTGCTACGTTTAGGCTTGTGGATCAGGAAAATGGCAACTGGACTAGTACGGTGACTTTCTACTGAACTGCCCCAACCTCTGAGCAATTCATACACCACATTTATTCATGTCCAAGCGCTTTCTAACATTCACACACTCCAGTGGTTCCGTGGGGTGGGTAACTTGGGCTTTAGTGTCTCACCCATGAATACTTTGGCATGCAGACTAGAGGAGTCATGGATCAATCCACCGAATTTCTGCTTGGTGGACGACCCAGTCTTCCACCCACACAGCCACAGGATGTATTTTGTTTTATTCAATATATTGGTATATTAAGGCTGTAGTTTCAGCTGTATGGTTGGAAGCTTTTTTTGCCTTTTTTGACTATTTTTGAGCAGCACTTTAAATTCAATTAAAGCGTGTGAATAAATTGTCAGCCCTTGTGCTCCACAAACCACACAGCTACAGGAGAATGATAGTTTGTTTAGTATTTAATCCCACCCGTGACTTTGTGTTTACAGGGGGTAACTAATCCTCGACGTCACTTCACTCCTACATTGTAAACCAGTAACACAGCTAGAACAGATATGTAACCATAACAGATATGTTAAAGCTCCCTAATTTCATTTCAACTAACACAATGTCATGGAGCATGCTGGAATATCCCGTGCAGTCGCTCCTAAGATGCTACACTATGCACAGCATTGGCAGTGTGTTTAGGATTATTGTCATGCTTGAAAATAAAGCCGCTGCCACTGAGATGCTTTCCAGATGGTATTGCATAGTGGCATAGTGGATAAAATCTGATACTTGTACTTTTCTGCAATCGTAATTTTATCAATTTTGACAAGATCCCCAACACTTGTTGGCAGCAGTGCAGCCCCAAACCATAAAAGAGCTTCCACTGTGTTTTTCAGATGACTGCAGTCAGTGTTGTGCCTCTCTGCTGACCTCAGTACGTGCCTACAAACATTTAAAATTTGGAGTCATCACTTCATAATACTTAATGCATGATTTTCAATGCGGTTCTTGTATATTTAGGATAGCAGCATTTCTCCCTGTTTCCCTTCCTTAAGAATGGCTTTTTACAGATTCAACTAAAGAAATGGAAACATTGTGAAAAATAGTTTTTACTAGCAGCATTGTGAGATGCTGCTAGTAAAAAATGCCCAAGGGTATATAATATAGCACTGGTTCTTCCCTGAGTTAGATCCCTTTTTATTTTTAAATTATAAAGTCAGTGGCTTAACAATGAAAAATCTAAGGTAGGAGGATTGGACTGAAAATAGATGGAAAAAGCAGCTAGTGTCCAAAGAAAAACTTGGAAATCCTTTCAGCAAGCCAGGAGAACTACTGCTCAAAACCTCTTTAATAAATACAATAAAGTCATGCTGTTTGGAAGAAAAATATAAAGAAATAAAGGATGGCTCGAGACTTCTGCACAGTACTCTCGTTTGCAGGGAGAGGATAATAGAATGAAGATGTTACAAGTGAGCAACAAGCTTTGCACTGTACTCCTTTTGTTGTCAGAGTTTTCCTATACTTACGGTAAATCTTTGCATAACATTAATGAAAGTGCAGCGTTGTTAGCGGCTGTTGAACAACCTATTTCAGTACAAATAATCTACTGAAAATCAGTGATGTGACGATTTAATGACTGTCATTATGCCTGTCTAAAAGCTTGGCACATGAGTGAGCCCTACAACACTGGGGAACTGTGCGTTTACATTTTATATTTACTATGAGGAAATAAGGATAAAACCTAATTACCACAGAACGGACATAGGGGTACAATAAACAGCAGCATGAACTAAATCCTGTAAAAGTTTGAGAAATCTAAACCGGGTTTTTCTGGATGTAAGAAGATAATCTTTATCTTAATGCAAATACACAAATTTCCTCCAAAAGTTATTCACTGGTGTTCCAACTTAAAAAAAAAGGAGTTTATCAATGTTTCTTTTTGCCCAATAAGAAAATCCAGGGGTCTGTTTTTACAGAGTTCATGGACTGTAGTTTTGATTCTATCTCAAAGATAGCTGATGGACTTAAACCAGAAGCAATCTGTTGTTCTAAACCTATTAAGTCTACCCAGCCCTTAATCCATGTTGCATGTGCTGCTGAACATAGTTTTAGGACATGTGCCTGTGGTTTGGTCCTGTAATGTAGCGCTGAGATTGAATTTATGCCATGAAAAAATATTTGTTTATGCATTTATCCACAGTCTAATTGCCACCCACAGCTTGTATTTCAGTTCAGGAGGATTATGTCTATGTCAGACCCTGATGAAGGCTTCTAGATGATAATGTGTTGGTCTGTTATGTTGTTTCTTTTTTGTGCGTGTGTGCTTGAAAAAAAAAGTTAAAATATCACGTTGGTTATTTTTTATCGTTATACTTGAGCCACATAATACAGTACCTGGATTTAAAGGATTTTGTTTTAAATTCTGTTTTCATCCAGAGCTGTTTATCAGTATGATGTGTAGACTCTGGGACTTCACGTGTCCTGTTAAAGTATTTTTATTTGTAAAAATCTTTCCTGCCAGAATTTTATCAGTCTGCTTATTCTATAACTTTTCATAGTCATACTAAAATAAAATTTACTTCAACAGAAACTGGAGGACAATCCTTAACTTATTGCATAAAAATGATTGGAAACTATAGTTTATTACATTAAAATGTTTTAAAACTTGCGAGAGATAACATAAACATTACAGGTATGATAAACACAAATATAGGCGTTAAATGAAAAAGCTTGTTCCAAATTAAAATATTTCAACAAAACATATCATTTATGCTTAAAAAATCTTTTTCTGACCACCTTGTTTCAGTGAAATGCATATTTTCATTTTTCTGAATAATAATCAAAGCATGATGATGAATTCTCCAAGTCCCTTTATATTAAACTGCTGTTGTTCTCGCGTCTAAAACTCGGCACTGTGTAGGAACATAGAGGGTATAACAGTTGATAAAGACTGCAATTTGCTTTGCCTGGCTTTTGCAGCTGCTGGTTGTTTTCCATCAGTATGCCTTTTCTCTTCTGGCCAAGGACTCTCATTTGGCTCCAGAGAGAGGCCCTATTTAAGAAAATTATGCCTGGAAGCCCTTTTGAGAAATGTTGCTGTTTTCTCAGTTGATAGAATAAAATAACAGTGGGAAGAAAAACACATATGAAGACTTGTAATATAGTTGTTGCATTGCTAAACCTACACAAGCTAGTTAGTTCCTGTCCCCTTTCAAAGGCACTGGACTGAATCATATTCATTAAAGTCACTTAAAAAGACTTGGAATAAAAAGGCCTAACTTACATCAACAACAGTGGATTTTTTCCTAGTTACACCAAACAATCATTTGCAGCAGTGCATGGAGGTTGTCATGACAATTCGGCTATGTTTCGTCGTCTTCTTCTTCACCGCATCTCGAATCCCAGAGTGAACATGAATGTAATGCAGGGATGTCAAGTGCCTGTCGGCTACACATCCCCTTTCAAAACTGATTTCTTGGTCCTCTGGGAGAAAGAAAATGAATGTAGCAGTAATGGTGAGACCCAATGAGAAAAATGAATGTTCTCATTCTGGAAAGTCGACATTTTTTTTCTTTTGGGGTGTGTGTGCAGAGAACACACAACTCAACTCAGTTCCCAGTAGATACGCTACATTAATAACCCTCCTCACGCTGCTGCCAGGTGTCAGCTCGTCACTGTCTGAATGACTTACCTGCTTGTCTGTTTTGGGCAGAAAACAGGAGCCCTGCCCCCCGTTTTTGAGTAGGCACCGCTGACTGACATCTTGAATGCCGTTTCCCCCCTTATTAATGTCAATTTGCTCAGCAAATTGCAATCGGATCCGTTTTTCTTGGACAGCATTTTCAGCGATATTTTTGCTTGTGGTTGGTTGTCCATTCAGAAGTACAGCGAGATGTGGGGAGGCTTGTCCACCTGAGCGAGATGTTTTTAAAATATGGAGTCTCACATTTAGCCAGGCTCTTAAGGTGCTGGGTCTGACTTACACACAGGTCCATTTTTCAACCTGAGTTATAAGCCACTCGGTTTTTCCTAAATATTTGCTGTTCTCTGACCCATAGGCTAAAAAGGAGCTTTAGGCACAGGCCCTGTACATTAATGGATATTATACAACACCAACATTTATATTGGTTTTAACTGTTTAGGGAAAATAAGGAGGCAGTTTGATACCATGCTCCCTCTTTTGAATTGCATCACATTGCTTGCCATATTTTTTTCCCCCTCCCTCCCTGTTTCTTGTTTCAGTAGAACTTCCCCCCATTTCCCGGCATTGGTATCACTGTTGACCCTGTACTGTTCTCTGTTTGAGTGTCAGGATTACGCCAGCTTTTACATTCGCTGGTTAGCTCCAATTGTACGGTGGAAAAAAAAGGACTACGCAGAGGGAAGTGAGCCAAGCTACTGAAATGCCAAGACAAATGGCCAACGAGGCCAACACGAGCATGTGGAATAAATTTTTGCTGTCCGAGCTTGTTATGCCTGTGTTGTCAGTGATTGTTTGGGCTACTTAAATGACCGATTTTCTCCTTGTTGCGTCAGTCAACTCTAGTAATTTTTCAGTCACTCTTGAGTCTGTGACACACTTCACAGGCTGAGATTAAAAAAGTCTGCAGGTCTTGAACCTTTAGAGAATTAGGGGGATAAAACCTTATTCTGCACCCCGAAGGAAGTGTGAATCAAAAGCGCCTTTGGCAAAGGTTAGAATTACTCAATCAACAGGGTTAATTAAAAGATTAGGTTTACTTATAGTGGCATTCACAAGAAAACAAAAACTATTTACTTTAAGAAATTCTTTGTAAACCTTGATAAGGGGTGTCTGAAATGGCACCTACCCTGGAGAAATAGGGGCAAAAGCCTGTGTTATTTGAAGCATTATCTGACTGTACCTAAAGCTGCTGAGCATGAATGGAGGTAGATAAGGGCACGGGCTCAAGTGAAAGCTTAATGGATTGAAAGAGAATTTAGTTTTAAGTCCTCTAACCCTCAGTGATTGTCAAGCACCACATTAAAATGCATTTTCTGCCACATGAACACTCAGGGAATCCCACTGCTTCACTTCTCCGTTGTGTTTATGCAAGCACACTGCTCTAAAGATAGCTAATAGATGTTCAGCACCTCATTTTTCCCCCTATCCTCATCCATCAAAATGAATTAAACTTGGCATGTCAGGCCTGCTCTATGAATTCCCATGAATCCCCCCCCCAAAACACAACAGTGACAGTGATGGAGGTTTTATAATTTGTGGCAATTATTAGGTCTGCAGTCCGGAGACATGACACATACTCTGACACCTGTTTTGGTAATTCGCATTGATTTTCACTGTCACATCCAGCAGAGGAGGCAGGCATTTACATCAGACCCGTCTAGTCAATCACAGAGTATTTGTGGGAGCTTAAAATGGATGTGAATGATCACAAGTTTCAAGGTTTCGCTTCCAAAGAAATGCTCATTGTGGCTCCATGCTATTGTGGTAAAAAAAAAAAAATCACACAGAAGTGTTGTTATATGATAAATTATACCCTTGTATTTTTAGACATTTTAGAAAATAAAATATTGTGAAAAGCTTATTTTGGCTTTCGGTTGGTGTGAATGAAATCAAAGTTTTTCTTCTGCTGCTCTCCAATGACATGTTGCTTTTTTCAAGAAGTTCTTTAATGTAATATACCGTATATTTTCTCTGGAAGGAATTTTGCAGCGTCTTGCATTTTTCTTGGTCTATGTTGCGATTTGAATGTGTATGTGTAAATATATGAGACACATAATATGCACCCAATGACGGTTTGTCCCTGAATCCTTAAAGCATTTTCTTTTTAACTGTTTTGGAAGACGTATATTAAAGTCTCGCTGATAGCTGGAAAGTTGTTTGGCACTCATTCTCCACCTCTCTCCTTTTGTCTTTTTGTTTCAGACATCACTCGCCACCAGATTTGCACAAGAGGCCTTTGGGAAGCAGTACAAACAAACCATTGGTCTGGATTTCTTTCTGAAGAGAATTAGCCTTCCAGGTGAGACACCTTTGTAATCGTTCGGAGACGTGTGTGTTGTACGAGTGTGATGATGATGATAATGATAATGATGATGACTGATGATAATGCACAGCGAATGCTTAAAACACAACAGACTGTGTTAACTGTGAGAGGCTGTTTGAATTCTGTATATCTGCTAGAGGTGGGAATCACCATACATCCCACGATATGATATTATTGCAATTTTTTAAAAATATTTTGCGATATTCAGATTCTACATACATAAAGGTAAACTTTATCAATATTCATTTTATCTAATATCAAAGTCTCGCACTCAGTCTTTCTCTCATTTCAGTTTTATTGTTGACAAACTGAACGGTTTGTATTACAGTCTAGTCCAACTGAACTGAATGCAACCATCTGGTACAATTACAGCTATTCTGAACTATGCAATATGAAAACTATGCAGCCCATTCAGCAACTGAAGAATTTGAAAGTAAATTAAAACAAAACATAATTTTACATAAAATAAAAAAGTTTTAAACTTAATTAAAATAAAACATGTCTTAAATTAAAATAAGTAAACACTCATGTTTATTGCTGCCAAAAAAGAGTTAAACACATTTGGACAGTGAAGGAATGTCAGGATTGTTGCTCAGAAAAAGGATCAACATGCTCTGAAGTCAGAGCACAAAAACCTTTTTTGTAACAAAATATCGATTTCTGCTGTCCCTGTATCGATACATTATTAGCAAACAAAATATCACGATACTACACAGTATCGATTTGTTCCCCCACCCCTAATATCTGCCTTAAGATTTTAGATCTTGTGTTTACTTAAAATTATGAGGGGTGAGTAGAGTATTAATAGAAAAGTTAATGAAGGTTCGACAAATAGGCTTGTTGTTCGCCGTCGCTTTTATTTCTGTTTTCCTGTTCTGCCATTTCCAGACAACTTCAGGTAAACTCAGAAGCTGAATGTGTCTTTTCTGGGAGCTCCTCATTGTAGAGTGTCTGTCATTTCTCAGGCTTATTCACTTTGAAAGGTCTTCTCTCCAGAGCAAACAGCACACACTCCCTCTCTTCTTTTTGAGTTGGGTTGGGGGGTTTCACAAGGCCAATGGACAGGTTATGTCCAAACGGGCAAGCCTTGCTCATAATTCTGTGGGCACGGTACAGAGTAAATACATTAACATTTTATATCCATAACGCTGATCCCCCAAGATCAACTGATCTTTGTCCTGCACTACATAAAACATTGATGTTCCTATTTGTTTAGGTTGAGCGCGCAGAAATAAAGCCACACTTTGTTTCCCCTTTAGATCTGTAAAATAAATGTTTATTGACGAATGCTATATTTAGACGAAAGCACTCCGTTTTTACTTCCTACCATGTGAAATGGGGATTTTCAGCATTTTAAATGGCATTTCTTGAGCCCTGCCAAAGCCTAAGCTCCAGAAATTTGCAAAGTGGCTCCATTCTTTCATTACTAATAAAACAACATTAAGCGAGGGCAAATTAAGTGCTAAAAGTAAAAGTTATGCTGATTTGTGACTTGGCTGAAGGATTCTATTTTGACTTTGTGTCAGTTTCAGCTTATGAGACTTAGGAGAACTAAACCCCCAAAAATGCTGTGGTGGAGTCGGGATGAAAAGAACCAACCATAAGCATAGGCTGGGCTCGGCTCCTTAATATGAGCTCGAACAAACGCTATTGATCGTGTGACTTCTCTTTCCAGTAAGTTTTGTTCCTGAAATAATCACAGATCTTTTTAGCGTTAAATTCGAAGCTTTGTTTGAATATAGTGTACATATGTCTGTATCACTGGGGCAGCAACAACACTGGGTTCAACAGCGGACTTGTTAAATGGCCCATTTTCTGGGGAATTGGGTGTTGATGAGCTGATGAAGAGGAGGGTGGCTGTACAAGCTGGGTGGTCCCAAACTTTGTTAGGACCCCCACCTTGCCTTGTATTGGAGAGGTTGTGTGGTTCTCTGGGTCTCTATGGGGCTGTAAGGGTCTTTTGCAGCAGGGGGGAGAGTAGCCTATAGCCAGCGTTGGCCCCTCTCACCATGAAGGCCCAGCTTGTCAAACTTAATGTACATTTTCCAATGTGGGGAGAGGTGAGGCGAGGCCGACTGGCACACAACAGCCTCCTCTGTGTGTGCTTTTTATAACAATACCTCTTCCAGATGTCCCTGCCAAACCAGTGAGGTACAGGCGGTGAAGGGGATTGAGTAGAGGTGAAATTTACTTGATAAATCCTGTCAGAGTTCAGCCTTCAGAAGCTTTTATCCTGCGCCACCTTCAAGACACTGGTTTTTCTTACCTTGTTATCAGTTTTTAAGGCTTGTCTGCAGTTTTCACTTTTTCCAAAGTGCGAGGTGAAAAATGTCAGCCCTGCAAAGTCAGCATGAATCTTTGAAACACAAATAAAGCTAGCGTCTGAGCACAGTGGATGGGTGGGGATGGGTCTTTAAGACACCAGGGAGCCATTATTCATCACACTTCTCAATGTAGCTTTACATTGACACTGTATAGTCTAGATCAAGTGACTGTAACCCTCAGCGTTTCCTTCCCGCACCTTAAAAAGGGGACCTGTGAAGGGTTTGAGTCGTCCAGCCGTGTCCAGCCGTGTCCACTGTGTATGCTCAGCTCCCCATTGCTCCTGGGCCTTCATCACACCAACATAAACTCCTCACTGTCTGGTCCTCCCTCCTCCTCTTTTTTTGACTTTTTTTTTTCAACCACCCCTTTCATTTTCCAGAGGAAGAAAATATTTATTTGGATTTGGTTTTTGTGCCCGTCTTTCTCTCTCCCCCTCTCATCCACTTCTCCTTTCTCTTTCCACAGGCATAAGGACAACAGTCTTCTTTTCCTCTTATTTTCTGTTTAATTATTGCTATTTTTCTTAACAGCACATAATTCTCTTCACTTTCCTTACTTGGCAGGTTATGGCACAATGCAAACAGCTCTTCCTAGACTAATAAGAAGTCTTTTTTTTTACTGCCAGTGTATTAAGAATGTTTAAATTAGAGGGTAAGCGTACCTATTTCATCTCCCCTCAATCTCTGGGCTGGATATTCTTGGATGTGAGGTGTAGGTGATCTGCCAGTTCAAGAGCGCTAAGCATGAAAGATTAATTCCTGATTTATTGTTTCCATTATGTAAATCAACAATGTTGACTTTTATTATGGAAATCGCTCACCCAAAAATACAGGCTCCAATTACAGCTTACTTATCATTTCCACAGGACCTTGAGCTTTGTTAAAACAAACAAGTTAAAAGGAAATACAACATCTGGAGTAGAAACCCGCAAATTGGCCTTATCATTTTTTTTATTTGTGTTTTTTAACTGGTTAGCAGATAAATGCATTTTAGGAAATGAAAGTGCGAATGTAAACTCTAAAAGCCTCTTTGCCTCCCTTACAGAGTAGACCTTTGTATTTTTTGTCATTTAAATGTCAGTTTTTTCTAATATTGGAGTTTTTATGTTTTTTCTCTTTACCACAGGCAATTTGAACGTCACCCTGCAGGTGTGGGACATAGGAGGCCAAACATTAGGAGGGAAAATGCTGGATAAATACGTATATGGAGCTCATGTAAGGGCGCACAGAGAACCAGCTTTTTATTCTATATAACAAACATGTAGACATCTCTATTTATGCTGCCACTTCCTCTCTGGGAACTTAAGCCCTCTAACATGAAGAGAAAAAAACTCAGGAAGGAAAGAAATTTGTAAATCTGCAAACCAAATGTTAATACATGATTTGTCACATTGGAGAATAAAGTCATGGGAAGCACAGGAAGAATTAGTTTCCAGTTTGGTAATATCCGTGTATTGGTGACTCTGTGCATGCTTATTATTACAGTCTCAGCAGTCATTCAAAGCCTGCCACTCCCTCCCTGTGGAGGGAAATCATAATAAACTGTCATTTGGATTCATAGTGAAGTGCAGCAGGTCAGTGGAGCTTTAAAAAAATCCCTATATCTCTAGTTTTCACAGAGCTGCCAGACTTGGGTGGTTAAACTGAAAAATGTTGATAATACTGTAGGTCAACACTGTGAGCAATAAGTATAGTTGTAACCACAAAGGATTTGCAATTATATGACAAATGCAAGTAATTTGACTTATTTTGTAGGCTAAGTAACTTCCAGTGTTTTGATAATATTTGCCTCATATGCACAAAAGCTGACATGACTAAATGATCTGTTGACTCTCACCTTTTATTTAATGCTTGTTCACTGGAAGATTTTACATGCTGTTGATTAACATGACAGCCGAGCTTTGTACAAACACAACAGTTTGTGTCGGTGCTTACCAGTTTATACGCCGCAACTTAAGTGCCCGCAGGTAGCTGTGTTGTTTTACAGCAGATGACACACTCGTTCACCTTTAGATCATATCTTGTTTGAAAAGCCTAATCCTAAAACCAGTACTGAAGCTCTAAAAACATGCAGCAGTACGAGAATACATTTTTGTAATGTTTATCCTTAGAACCTGGATAAACGGTTGAGCATTCTTGTTCATTTCAGAAATCTATTTGGCTTAATTAAAGTCAATTTTTTCTCTTGATGTTTGCTCTAATATTATCTCTGTGTTCTTCCTTCGTGAGAAAAATCTGGTGCATCACACCGCCCCATTACGGCACTCTGCTTTGGGAGTTTGTCATTAGGGAAGTGTAGAAGTTTCACACCTTTTGTTCGGCACTGTGCATCCTGTAATCAATCATGGCTGTTCAGAGAGGCTCGCTGTAATTGTCAAGAGGGGTAAGCTGTCGTCGCCGACCATGCGTGTTGTGACAGTGCGTGTCCGTTGGACAAAAAGCAACAGACACCCCTCCAGTCATGTTGCATCATGCAGTAAACGTAGAGACATTTACTCTGGCTCATGTTCATTTCTAGACCCTTTTGAAAAGGCGAAGCCTTGTGTAGTTAGAGATAGTTGACTCATGCGATTATTATTTGTCTTGCACTGTGCAAGCACCTCTTGTATCTGTTTGCTTTTTGATTAATTTATGTGTTCATGTAAACAGCTCCTTCTGGCCTGAGTGTTTAACCAAACACGGCTCTTGTATCGTTGCATGACTGTTTCTGTCGTGCAGCGAGCGTTTAGGATTATGGAGGGAGGAGAAAAAATGTCTCGAAGCAGACAACCTTCATTCATTAGCTCAGACAGCAGATAACCAAACCTGACCTCCATTCTGCAGTGAATCTGCAGTATGCTTACACAACTGGGAGTAATTTATGTGCAAATCACTATTTTCATAATAAAAAAAGATCCTCAGCTTCGTTTTAGTTTCATGATAGTACTAAAGTTATGTTTGAGTGAATGAGTGTGACCCCTACTCTAAGAAGTGGAGCAGTGCCACCTACTGTTGCCTTCCTGGCTCAATTATATTCATGAATGTGACTATGTGGGTCAAAAATGAGTAACTGCCTCCCACTTGATTCCCTCAGAAGCAGCTGATTATTATTTTTTTCTCGGTCCAGCTACTTATCATATATTAACATTAAAATGCCACGCAGAATTAAGATTATTTTCAAAATCACAGCCCCTTTAAGTACATATTGATCAGTCAACATTTTTTGTTAAATGTCCCCGACCCTTAAAAGTTTACCTAAAATACACTTTTTACAAAGTTCTCCTCAAAAAATAGATAAAGCGTTGCAGCATCTTTGTATTGAAACTATGATATATCCTACAATATTATTGCTCAGTGTTGACTATAAAAAATGTGGTGAAAAAAATTTATTTGGCTTTTTAAAAAAAATATAATTAGTATTTGCATCTTTAAACGGCACGATTTCAGCCAGCCCCTGTATACTTCAAGAGCTTCTGAAAATATGTACAGTATTGGAGAGTAGGTAGGTAAAATTTTACAGATTTGACACAATCCCACACAGGTCGCCCCACTAGGAGCAATCAATTACTTTTACAGAATGATCCTTGTTGGTAGAAAATAATCAGTATACATCTGTTATAAATGTGAACTTCTGAAATCGGTGTTTGTTAGCATTAACACTGTTTGCCTCCTCTTTGTCCAATACAGGGGGTTCTACTGGTATACGATATCACCAACTACCAGAGCTTTGAGAATCTAGAGGATTGGTTTAGCATGGTCAAGAAGGCCAACGAGGAATCTGATATTCAGCCAGTTATCTCCTTGGTAGGCAACAAAAGTAAGTATTGCACGAACAAAAAATAAAATGCACACAAAAAAGACCATAGACACAGACTATAAGAATGATTACACTGCTTTGAAAGAACTTTATTTGCAGGATTTTTATTTCAGAAGCTGCATATGAAATTAGGTTATTACAGGTTTTTGTTTGAGTATTTTACCCTGATGCATTTTTCATCTGAGTGCCTGTGTTTGTGTGGAGGAGTGCATATGTGATGGTAGCAGACGTGTTTGTTAGAGCACCAGATAACTGATTGGTGTGATAAGAGAGCGAAGTTTGAGAGCGATGGGAATGCTGATGTTTGTGAACTCCTGGGCGTGACTGATGATGATTTAATATGGGCCAGCAGACCGAGGCTACCGCTTATCTGCCCCCCTCACCCATCCCACAGTCTGATTCTGCTCTCCTGTCCCAAATCGGTTAAGGTGAGGGACTGGACATTAACCAGACGGCTCTTTTCCTATTAGCCTGCAGCCGTCCCAGCATCTCCAAAATAAAGACCAATAATGATGACTCTTTTAAACATCCCCGTGACAGATGTGGAGTCATGGCTGCCGTTGTGTTATTTTAAAGCGAGGCGTCACTGTGTGTGTGTGTTATGGTGACTGTCCACCTTCCCAGGCAATGATGAACGGTCAACAGAGCGGTGCCTACACACAGGAAACTCGCTAATGTTACTCAACGCAGATCATAGGTCACGGTTTAATTCGCCTGTCTAGAGCAGATTCTCTTGTCTTCACATCCGTTGCGTTTTCTAATGCCCCGGCTTTAACAGTGGGCGCCTCTGTATTTAGGCTGGAGTTTGGGATGTGCTGGTGAGTGTGTGTACTGTAATACTTAAGTAGTGTACATCCCGCTGTCAAGCTCCTCATCCACGCCCCCCCACACCCACCACCCCCACAGTTACTTTACCTCTAATGGCTCTAATGCTGAGAATGGTCCATGTGTGTTTTTTCTGTTCCTACACACTGAAAAAAAGAAAAACACAATCCCACACAGATTGCCCCACTAGGAGCAATCAATTACTTTGCGAGAGTAAGAATCCCCGAACCCTCCCATGGTGTCCGTTTTCTTTATTTTATATTTTCCAGGGTGCTCGGCAAAGTTAGTCTAGATATTCTTTTAATCTATTTTGCAAAACATCTACTGTTTTGTAGTACTGTGGCTCTTCCCTCCTCCAATTGTAATACTTTAACAGTGTTGTGAGCATATGAAAACACAGCATTCTTTGGTGAGCAGAGTTTAGATGGCTTTTGAATAGTTCCCATGATGTTGGGCTGAATGAGGCAGCATGTTTGTGACAACCAAAATAGAAGTACAGACATAACAAGGAGCTTATAAAAACACTACAGATTTATGTCTCTGTGATGTCTTAGGGGGAGATTGTGGTGTTTCACCACTCAGATATTTTTAGTGGTTCCACTTAGATTAACTTAAGGTGAACAGTGGCTGTGGTAATACTTACTTTAGTGGCCGTTTACTGCTGGAAGAATATTCAGATAAAAAAATATCTATAACAGTATTATAACAAGTTGATTTGAATACTAATAAAAGTCAACATGCATGCTTCAGTCAGATAATACTGTATTTGGCTTAGTGACAGCTACTATACACTGAGCTTTAAAATCCAGTACTACTACTGTTCCTGCCTTCTACTCTAATTTGAACACTGTCTTCTTTTCCTCGTGTACGGTAATTGAGCCGTCGAAGCAGACAGGTTCATTAGTGATGCCGTCCCCTCCTCTCCTTACCCTGGCCTGGCTGCCCTCCTGTGCCATGTCGCTGCTGGGAAACAGCCTTTCCTTTCTTCGGCTTTGAATGACCAGCTAGGGTTAAGTGTACTTGTTAAGCATCAGTATGCTGCACCCCATAACCCTCAACCTGCTGCCCAGAGTCTTATGTCAAATAATGGCACCACTTGTAACAATTCAGAGAGGGAGCCCATGAAATGTTTTATTGAGGGCTCACATATGTGCACAGAATTATTTATGCAGTTGCATGCACACACATGCACTTAGGTGAAAGAACACACTAGTCGAATTTCTGGGAAAACATTGGTAATGGAAGAATCCTAAGCTTCTGGTCTGTCTAAACACACTATAATGTTTATTACAGTGCATCCTCACGTAATACCGTATGGTACACAGGAACCTCTCAAGAGATATGTTGGCTTGTTATGCGGTCATCCCTTCCAACACTTGAATGCTTCATTTTTAGTGAAGTAACAAGTGCTGTGTGTTTTGAAAGTGCTCCAGATGATAAATTCTCCCTCTTTCTGCTTCAGCTGCGATGAGCCTGTTTGTGACTGTTTGCTTTTTAAACGAGAGATTGTCTGAAATCTGTGATTTAACAAAGCAAAAGCACAAAACCGTGGCAGTATTGATCCATATTTTTGCATCTTTTTTTTTTTTGCCAGTCCCGTTTGGCTCTTTTGCCATCAGAATTGTTGTCTAAAGGCAAAGAAAGATGCCCAACGGATTTACTTTACCACATATTTTTGCATCTTAATAAGAGCTGTTAAAATTGGCATACAGTGCTGTTGTGTTGAAATAACTGATGTTACTGTTCAAAATTAGTACCCATATTTCTTTGTAGGCATTAACTCTGTATCGTTTATCAAACCAATTTGTTTTTATTAAGTAGGGATCACAGGACCATGGCTCCCTCCCACCCATCACCGTTCCCATTGCCAGTGCTCTTTCCCTCAGGAACTCCACAGCATCCATCATTGACTTGTACAGCCCTTATTTGGGTGACTTAAATGGGTTCAGTTCTCTTAACCCTGCCTCATCACTCATGGGCTTTTGCTCTGTGGTTCTAACACTGTTCATTGCTGATCCACTCAGGCCTGCCCTGGGAAACATCTCTTCTGCAAGAAGATAAGGTGCCCGCATGAATGGAATCTAACCCTTCCTGCTTTCTTCTTGTGTTCTGTTTCTTTCTTTTCAAAGCCCTTATCTTGTTCCATCTCTCAAACATACTTGTGCCTTCATTTTCAGCCCTGTGCAAACACTGACTCTTTCAATTAAACACACTTATACCTACAAGTCCTCTTATCTCTCACATGTGTAGACCAACACCTCCGCTGTAGCTGCCTTTGGTTACTGTAATGTCTTTTCATTGGCTCTGCGTTTCTGTTGTGTTTAACAACACACATGTGTTTGCTTTCTGCACGCTACGACAGATCTCACTGCATACCGTTACCCGTTGCACTTCCCTCTCCCCGGTTTTCCATCCAACCATATGAAAGTTAAAGTGAAACATGGATCTTTCCTTACTCTGGATTCTCTTGAAGCATGTCCGTACCCAACAACATTGTTGGTCTTAAGCTCTTAGCCCTCTTGGGTAGGCCTCGGGTGGAGTTGTAGCCTCCCCCTCCACAGCTCTCTCTCTCACCTCTGTCACCTCCTTGCCCCTGTAAAGCTGCCACAGTTCCTGTCTGTTCAGTGTAGGGCTGCACGTTTCTTAATAGAGAGATGCTCAGAAGTCCAAGAGTGCAGAGGAGCTCAATGCGCTTCTGTTTTTGGTTTAGCTCAAAAATGTTTTTCCTGGCTCAACCCACTCATACTTAGGTCCTCTTACAACAAACTAAAAGGTCCTAATTGCCCCCAAGGGAAAGATTTAGCCACAATAGACATGTGGTCGGACAAAAGCCCAGTACTCTTACCCCGGCACCCTCACCCCTCCCCAGACAGGAGGGATGAACACGTCAGCAGTGTCTGTTTTGCACTGTGGGTAGCATGACCACAGGTTCGACGCTGTAAAACATTATATATACAGAATATAGACCCAGTTAGGCACGGTGTATGGTTGGATAGACATCTGGAATGTTTACAGTTTACAGCAAATCCAGTGTTTCCTGTTTCTCTTCACATTTTATTTAAGGTAAAGAGTCAAATTAGATGTGTGTATCAAATTGTCTCTATGACCACACTCACTGTAGCCTGCTGTCTGGCTGTGAGTCTGGAAAAGATGTGAAACCGAATCTGGTCACAAGATTTAGATTTAGAGAGAGATGAATGAAGAATTACAGCTGAATTACACTGTGGTTCATAATCCAGTGTAAAGTTGCAATTGCAGACACAGTGATTAAAAGGTACTTAAGTTCTTTTTTTCGCAGTCTTACCGACACAGAACTAAATTAAGTAAATGGTAAAATTTAATTGTAACAGCTTTTGACCCAGCTTTGGTCCCTGCACTCGTCTTTTGACTCTCATGCCTGTTGAAACATGGAAAGTCCTCATTCATTTTAGCCATCCATAAAGCAAATATTGTTGCACATGCAGTAGATGATCAGTCTTCGAATACCTTCTTGTGTGGTAAGTCACGGGCCATTTGACTTGCACAGAACAGCTTAGCCACCTGACCGGAGTGCAGCCTGGAACCCTCATCACACTCAGGCTATACTTTATTTCTTCACTGCTCCACAACATTGATATGGAGGAATTCCTGGAAGAGGCCTTGCTGACACAGGATTAGGTAAATAACTGACTGATGTAGATCCAGGGGCATATTTTATAAATGTATGTGAAATATCAACACAGTTTTTCCCTCCGTTTTTGCTAAATTTACTTTTTAGTTGTGTGAAATATTACATCACAGTCTTTGCACTCTGCTTCTGCTTCATGTTTCAAGTTTGTTCAGGCAGTTGTGAGCAGAACTCTTCATAACCATGTTATGATTCATTGCTGTGGCATGATGTTGAATATGAAGGCCAATCTAATGCGTCACTGCTCACAGGAAGATTTTATAAATATGAATAGTGTTATAGTGAGCAACATATACAGTTAAGAAGGCTGCCCTGTGCTCTGTTTAATTGTTATAGCTCATAGTTACGCTGTCGGCTCACAGAGGCATGTATTACTGCCCTCTCGTAAAAGTCCACTTAGTTTAACAGCGACAGGAGAGCTTGGAGGACATGGCCAGTGAAACCCTGGGCAGCGACTTGTGCGGTCGGCTCAGAACTGGGCCTTTTGTCCGCTTTTCATGAGTCCTGG